GATATTGATGCTCTTCTGATACTATTTTTGTTGTTATGTTTCAAGATAAAGGCAATCGAGTATTTATAGGAAAAATAAATACGTATGCCTTTTGCAGTGTGTTGTAGCTGAAAATTAAATATTTTTCTACTCAAATTTTGGCACATTTCCTGGAATCATCGAGCTTTCAGTAACGTTTTTAGTTAATATTCTGCAGCCTACTGTTGTATTCACTGCAGCTGACATGAGCTCAGAGAGTTTGTCTTTATTTAACCTTAGAGAGGAATCCCAGGCTTGCTGTGTAGTGGGCAGAGCTGCTGGGAAGGATCTGCTCCAGATTGCAATGGAGAGAGTGCGGGCAGGGTCCCGCTCGGAATTGTGCCTGCTACAACCTCGCTCCATTGGTGGTACTGGAGATCCTGCAAACCAAGGCTCCTTAAAGTGAAGTTAGCCTTTATCAAACTCTGATTAATATTTTCTTTCATTATCCATCCTTTTCCTTCTTTGGCTGATCTCTTGATGAATCCTGTTGTTGAAGTCCTGCATCCCCACTACTTCTCGTGATGTTTGGAAGTTGAGGGCACTGATTAGGACATTCCTTTACTACCTGAAAAATACATATATCCTTGTGTAGAGGGGGTGAAAAAACATAAAAAGCCCTGATGAGGATAAAGGTCCTGCATCACCTTTGCTCTTTTGAGACTTAAAATTGCATTGAGGTGGTGGGGGGAAGATGCTTCAGCTAAACGTCAAAGCTTTTAAAGACACTGATTCTGATTCTCTGCTCCATGACACGTTTTTCACACTGGTGTAGCTCCACGGGGCTGCTTTGTCTCCTTTTTGTCAGCTGGTAAGAAGTAAGGAGAATGTAAATGGCCTGTGGCATTAAGACCGCCTAAGAGACAGTAGCAAACCATTCAGTTTGGTGATTTTATAGTTACTTGTTTAAAATAATTTCGTTAATGAAGTTGACTATTATCCAGCTAACTATTAGCTATTACCGTTTTAAGAAAGTAATTACCCCCAAAAGTTAGTGTTCACTATGACAGCAGTTATTAGTAGTATTGGCAGTAACCTTACTGTTAGCAATATTTATGCCAGGAAATAAATGCTTGTCTTTATTTGTCAGTAAACACTGGCATTTAAATGACATGAAAGTTTATATATTGATTTCTATGGATTCAAGTCTCTAGAACTACCTTAGTATTTATTTTCCCCCACATTAAGGAATGAGGTAAAGTTGAACTTGATGAAGTAGATACTCTAGCGCTAGATTTATTATTTGAATGTGTGAAAATTCTTGAAAATGTGTATCTTATCAAACTGAGCCTGATTTCAGTTGTACGTTTTACTAATAGTGGAAGGAAATTTCCATTGTTAGAAAAGTCTGGAGGCCTCCCCTCACGAGAAGTGCTCTGAAAATGAAGAATTGGGATGCTCATCAGAGATAGGAAGTCTCATCAGCCTGAATCGCCATGCAGACCTGTAGGGGTTGATTTGTAGCCAGTATCTGCAAAATAAACTGCAGGGTTCAGTTTGCAAACACAGTTGTGAACCAAACCCTGCAGGGTTCAGTTTGCAAACGCTATTGCAAACCAGACCCTGCAGGGTTTGCTGAGCTCCGGTTACTATTATTGCTCCTAGTAAGGCTTATTATCCTGTCACAGAAGATGTAAGAAAATCCATCTCTCCACTTTAAACATGATAAGCCTTTGTCACCTACAATACAATTAATGTTAAAAATAGAAGAGCAGTGATGATAAGACTGTGACTTGCAGGCAATGAGCCATTGTCCAAGTACCGGAGATTTATCTGGAGGGCCAGTCAGCCTACACGGTTTGCTGTCAGTTTGCTGATTGCCATTTCTCTCCAAGTTTGATGAAATATTCATGTCTTTGCTCTGCTCTCTGCAAGCACTATTGATTTCTTGTATAAACATGGCTATATTTAGTCTAGACAAATGGAATGTGGATTGCTGCTGAATAAATGGGATGAAAGGCAAGGGGTTTGCCTGTCCGTTTCTCTTGGTCTGTGGCAATTATTTATAATCAAGAGTAGTTTTTGTAAGTTAAAGGTGATTTTTTACAATTTAGTAATTAGTCTCAGAACAAAAGTAAGCACTTAGATGCAATCATTCTTTTGGGTTAGTGGGATAAGAAGGCAAATTATGCTCTGAGGTTTACAATCACAGTTACCAGGATTTAAGAAAAAAAAAAAGGCCCAGAAAATTGTATGTTTCCAGAATTTTGAGAAGAAAAGAATATGATCAGTAGAAGAGATTTGGTGCCTTGTCTCTTATTTTTATAAAACTTCTTACTAATAGATTGGATCGTACAGTTAGAATTCAGTTCTCTCCATTTGCTGCAGTTTCAACTTTTGCTGCTTCAATTTTACTGCTCCTTCTTGCTAGAATATTTGTTTCATTTTGATTTTCTCCTTGAAAACAAATACAGCTGTAGCAGAGCAAAAGGAGAAAATATGCTTAAAATCTTATTCCCTAGTAATTTCCGACAACATGTTTGTTTTCAGTTAATAATCTTATTTTCCTATGAAGATAGTGGAGCAGTAGGAACAGGAGTGAATGTGTTTGTGTTCCACTGTCCTCTCGTGGATGGAATCAGAACTGCTGAGCTTTAGCAGAGACCCTCAGCTGCTATTTATTTTCCTCTTGTAGAAATGTTACTTGCTAGTTTTTTGTTCTTTTGAAACAAATAAAGTTACACTCTGGCTCTGCACTTAATGTGGAAACCTGAGCTTTACAAGTATTGTAGTGAAAATCATCAAATCTCTCTCTTCTGCTGCTTTTTAGTCCCTTTGATTTAAATAAGGAGATAGAAAAACACAGGATTCTTCATTAAGTACTTTAATGCTGGATTAACAGTATATACCATTGCTGCAACAAATTGGAATAATTCAAGATGTTTTCATTTTCTTACAAGCCATATATAGTGTATTATGTCTAATCCACTCCAAGCATGGTTGTCACTTTTCAAAAAGCTGTATTAAAACTTCTCGGTTTGTGTGTCAAATTGTTTTCCTACAATTTTATATGTGTTACTCCTATGTGTTTGCCAGGTATATTTACATGCAGTAGCTATGTAGTGTCAGGTAGCTGTTCATGTGTAACACCATCCTCAGAAAATCTACACGCTGGCTTTGGAAAATCTCTTGCAATGCAGAGAGAACTGGAAGGACTTCATCTTACACTGAAGAAGTGCCCTGAGTGTTTATTGTGTAGCATTAATAGTGCCTAGGAGATTCTCAGTAAATACTGCTCCATTAGGCTGTGACATGGTTTTAGAACTGGGTTGCTTGTTAGTCTATTTAGCAGAATATTAATCTGGGAGTATTTTTGCAGAGAATCGAAAGAAAGTGATAAAATAATTTGTAAAATCTCCAGCTGCTAGAAGGAATGTCTGAAGTTTGCATACATCGTAGATTGCATTAGTGTTTTGTTAGGTCTGTACATTGAAGCAGTCTTTGAGTGAAATTGGTTTTTTCCCCAGTAGGAACGATCTCTATTCTCCTTCTCCAGTTATATTTAGTATATACACGTTTTGTTGTTTTCTTCCCACAGTGGATGTAAAGTCGGAGGTTCCCGTGGGATTAGAGCCTATCTCACCATTAGACTTGCGAACTGATCTCAGGATGATGGTTCCCATGGTGGACCCAATTATGCGTGAAAAGCAGCTACAGCAGGAACTACTTCTGATCCAGCAGCAGCAGCAAATTCAGAAACAACTGCTGATTGCAGAGTTTCAGAAGCAGCATGAAAACCTGACCCGCCAGCATCAGGCCCAGCTCCAGGAGCACATAAAGGTAGCAACATTTTTCATTTATCCCTCACCTTATCTGCAAACGGAATATGCTTAGGCAGACATGAAAAGGGAACATGCCTGAAAGGTTCGCTGTGACTGAGAGATGGTGTTTGAGTACTTATTTTTCTGTAGTTGGGTGATAAAAGCCTTCTCAAGCAAAACTGCTAGCACCTACCAGCGAGTTCCTCACAGCAGACCAAGGCAGTACTATGAGAATCATCAAGCTCATGAAGCCACTACATCCACAGAAAATCCAACTACCTATTTTCAAAGCTGGATTTTCAGCCAGACTTCAATATGGCTGTCTTTTCTATATGTGCAGTTTTGAGTATATTTAAAGACTGCTTTTTTGGGCTACTGTTTGAGTTTGTGCCCACAAATCAAATTGATAGGCAAGTGCATAATATTTGCATTTGTAAAACGGAGGCACACCCTGAAAGTGTGTTTTCACTCTTCTCTGAGCTGCCTCATGTAATGTAAAAAGAAAATTATTTCTGGGATTACATGCACTATGCTAGGATTGCTATAATGGATTTTGACCGGGAATTTATGATCTTGCCTTTCTTTTCATGTTTTTCCTTCTGATTTACTTGCCATTATGCTACTGTGCTACGCTTCTGCTCGATGGAGCTGACAAATGCAGCAGAGCACAGCAGCCAGAGTTGGGTGATGCGCTGGCAAAGAACCCTGTGCGGTTTCCAGGCATTTTTGCCAAAAGAGAAAGAAGTGAAACCAGAGCAGCAGGCTGCTACCTGACATTAGAGTTCGTTTTAGTGACAGCCAGTAATGCACTATCCCACTTAAAAGACTGGGGAAAGTTGGTTAAGAGATGAAAAGGATTGTAAGCACAAAAGCAAGCACTGATACTCAGTTATTCAAGGGGGTTGTTTTAGCCAGGACTGACCTAGAAAACAGTGCAAACTGCACTTTCTCATGTCTTTTTGTTCTGTGCAAGTTACAACAGGAACTCCTAGCCATTAAACAACAGCAAGAACTCCTTGAAAAAGAGCAGAAACTGGAGCAGCAGAGACAAGAGCAGGAACTGGAGAGGCATCGCAGGGAACAACAGCTTCCTCCCCTCCGAGGCAAAGAAAGAAGCCGAGAAAGTAAGAGCCAATGTACCATGAATTCTAATACGAAATTAATCTATTCCCCTTTGCCTTCTCCCAGCCGAAATGGACGATGAACAGGAACCTGAAGCAAGCCTATTACTTTGTGAAATACGCAACTAGAGAAGTGGAGGCTGTGCTTGCAGAAAGGCAGGGCCACCTGTTGTACTTGCAGAAACACATTGCTGGTTTGTGTGCAGACTTGGAGGACTGTAGGAAAGCACGTTTTGACAGACCTGTGTATATGCCTCTCAAGAATCTAGCTCGTTTTATAAATAAGGAGGGAATTTGAAAGCCTAAAGCTTCACTTGAGAACTCCTTTCTGAAGAGCTTTTGTCCCAATACAGAAAGCACTACAAAACAGCAAAAAATCCAATTACTTGCTGATTAACCAGTTTGAGCATTGTTTCAAGATTGAAAATATAACAAAATATTTAAGAATATATTTGGTTGAGACTTCTGAATACTTTCGCTAGGACTTTTTCAAACTGCCTTGTATTTGTTCTTGATGCCATGTCATGAGGCTCAACCAAGAGTTATTTCTAGCTCATATATAGCTGTAAGGCAAATGACAGATATAAAGGATACTGTTGGAATTTGGTGATCACTAGAGGGAGACAGATACAAATAATTCTCCTTAGTGAGGTCAGTTTAAAAATCAGGTTGAAGTACATTGTGAAGGTATTCAAAATGAAGCTGCCAGATACTGTTACTTGCCCTGCTAAATGACCACAAGAATTAACTGCCAAAGACCGAAGCAGAAGAGCTGTCCATTATGCTCCTCCCTTTTTTTCTTGGGTGGAAAAATGTATCAGTTCAACAGTTGTAGATGTACCATATTGTAGGCTTTAGAAATTAAGGTGTCCATGGTGCTTCCAGTACCTTGGTGAACGATGAATCCATGAAAGCATCATCAGCCTATTGACCCAGCAGTGGAAGGGTGGCAGAAACCGCAGGAACAAAAGGTTCCTCTAAGTGGTATGAAAACTCAGCCTCCATATAAACAGTTGAGCTTTATTAGTGCTCCCACCAAAGGAAGAGCAGTGATGTGAACTCAATGGTTGCCTTCTCAGTTTGGCTTGCTGGGTGGCAGCTCAGTATGTAGCAGTCAGCCAAGCAGCACTTGTGACCACCTGGGCCTAGCCCCTACGTTTGCTGCTGCAGATGATCTACTTAATGAGTAGAGGAGGGAAGGAAGGTGCAGGGCAGGGAGTTAGGGTCTGAAGCTGAGGGGTAGTAGAGGTATTTTATGGGAACTGGGTCACAGGGGACATGATCACCAGCTAGCTGTGCTGTGTCAGGGTTGGGTAACCAAATACTTAGAGTATCAGTATGCCTTAGTGCTGCCACTTTCAAAGAAATGTTTTTTTCTTCCCTTTTTTGTCACTGTTTATGGAAAACTAAAAGAAGATTTGTCTTTTTCATTTTTTTTTTTATGAAGAGTATTATGGCTGTGAGTAAAGAAGCATGTCCCATGCTGCAAGTAGGAATTGGCAGTTTAACCTGACATTGACATACCCTACTTCTTGTACTGTACTGAGCTAGCCACCAAGAGAGGTCAAAATGCACTGTGTCTTCCCGGCATTTTGGTCTTTCTGTTGGTTTTGTGTCGTAAGAGTAGAGTTATCAACTAATACTTATGTTTCAGACTGTGGTCTGTCTTCCAGACATCACACGTATAGGCTCTTAAGTGTCTTGAATAAAAAGGCTCACTGCTGACTCTTTCTGCGGCGTTCTGCTCATAACCAAGACAGTGTTCAGAGGGCAGTTTTGCTGTGCTATTACTATTACTTTACTAAAAGAAAAAACATTCTTTACCGCAAATTCAAAGTGACCTTTTGTCACTATCTTTTTAGTTCTATCCTTGGTTTTGTATTTGGGAATTATTAGGAAATAATTTAAATTCTTTAGATAGATACATCTGGCCCTGGATAAATGGCCTCATCTACTGTTGAAATATTCCTTATGACTTCACTGGATTTCTGGGTTATGGCCAACTTCAGTCTTCTACAGAGAAACATTTAATCTGAATGTTACCTCATTTTGACTGATTTCCACCAATATTTTTTATAGTTTACAACACTTCCAGCAGCAAGACATGGGCTCTTTTTTGTGTTTTGGGTTTTGTTTTCTTTAAAAATGTAATCTTTTTAAGTAAAGATATGTTTAATCCTGTGTGTCTTAGGGGCAGTGGCCAGTACAGAAGTGAAGCAGAAACTTCAAGAGTTCCTGTTGAGTAAATCAGCAACAAAAGACTCTCCAGCAAACGGGAAGAATCATTCCATGAGCCGCCACCCCAAGCTCTGGTACACGTATGTTCAGTATTAGGCTGTTACCTTGCCTCGTTGAGGTATCTGTTAAAACTTGCCAGAATGCTTCTCCAGCAGGGGTATTAAGAGTCTGCCTCCAGAACAAGACAGAAGTTCAACCAAGAAGTTAGCAAAAAGCCAGAAGTGTAATATTTCTGGTTGAACTGAAGAGTACTCGGTGTTCAGTGGTGAGATGAGAGCTATACAGAACAAGATGCTGTCAGAAATTTGTAAAAACTTCTTATTTCAACTGCTTCATCTCTTGATGCTATCACAAATTTTACAACTATACTTGTCATTTTTTCAAGTCTCTTCAATTTTTGCAGTTAGAACAACTTTGTGTTTGATTTACTTGGACTTTGAATCAGTCACAAAACTTGTTTCTTCTTGAAGAGATGCTGCTTTCCAGTGAAGTCATTTGGATGATGTAACTCACAAGGATTTTGAGAAGGATAGTGGTCACTTAACTTTTCTTACCCTGATGGATTTTAGTATCCAAAACTGCATATTCTTATGATGCCTTGGCCTTCATAAGAATCTGCTTAGACCATTGAAACAAGTGACTTTGTTGAGTCCCGTAATAGGCCTATTAACATTTTAAGAGTTTACAGTTTTTACCCTTTTTTTTTTTTTTGTACTAATTAATTCCTTTTTAACTTCCTTATTACAACAAACACATAAGTCAAGCCAACAAAATGAACTCTGGCTGCATTTCTGAAAGACTTCAATCTTACGTCCGAATTACCCTTCAGTAGGACAAACAGAAATGCATATGGTACACTGGATTTCCGTCTTGTACTTGTTCTTTTTGAAAAGAATTACTGAAGGCCTGCCCTTGGAGTTTCCATTCTGAGCTAATCAGAGCATTTGGTAACATGATTTAATATATAGTTACATTGTTTCTGGTGGAGATGCAGTACTTAATTTTTATTTTTTTTTCCAAATAATGTGTAAAATTCTCTTGAGTATGTAAGGTTTCTGGACTAATAATCTGAGCTTAGTTCTGAGTCTTCAGAAAGTAGTACTTCCTCTCACGGTAGTGCCCCTTTTGACAGATGTATTATCGATTAACCACACGACATTGGAAAGATAGGGAGAGACTCTGTAAAAGGCCAAGTAAAATTATGTTTAGATAAACACAAAGTTTGAAAGTTTCCCTCCTTTCCCTCTCTCCCCCTCTAAATAGAAAAATCAACCAACCAAAAAAAGAAACCCTTGTCCCTGGGCCAAATGATGCAATTTCTTTGCAATTTGCAGTTTCCATGTTCAGAAAGATCTGCCCGCACTATTTCTTTCATCCAGCAGTTGTCAGAAAGCACTCTTCAGCTTGGAGCTTCTCTGCTGACGTGAGTGCTACGTGCTGCAGAGTGGTGTGCTCACAAAACTTACAAACTGAACTTAAATACAAGGGTTTATCTACCTTGTCCGCTAAATTGTTTGCTTTTTTTTTCCCAACGGATAATAATAACTCCATATTTCTGGTTAGTTTTATACAAGCCCCCCTGCCCTGAAAATCCCCCACATTTTGATAGAAGACGCTGGATCAGTGTACATCTATCTGTACGTGATAAACAAGACTTAAATAGCTTTTGCTGTGCCTCAGCTGGTTCATATTAAAATGGAACAATCTAAAATGGTCAATTCCCCAAACTGGTGACAGATCCTGTCTGTAGGTCAACATGACTCTTATCCTATGTGACTTTTATAATGAGTGCAAAAAGCACGTTCTTGGGAATCCCAAGGAGTTCCGTAACTTACTGTAAAAGTGAAATTGGTTACATGAGCCTGTGGTTTGTGCACACTTAGACGAACAAGAACATAAACACAGCTGAGACATGTGTACAACATGTGTAGATAGTTACTGCTGGTCACCTCAGTGACTGCTAATTTGTGACCTCTCTGTGTCTGCTGCAGGGCTGCCCACCATACCTCACTGGATCAAAGCTCTCCACCCCTGAGTGGGGCCTCGCCACCGTACAAATACACTTTACCAGGAGCGCAGGATGCCAAGGATGATTTTCCACTTCGTAAAACGGGTGAGTTAGCGTAGTTTATTCGAGCGCCTTGCCCAGCAATTCTCCCACCCTTTATTTTAACCAGGCTGTCCATCAGCAAGGCATATATCATAATCCACAAAGCCTGTTCAGGATGATACTATGGGTAAGTTCAAAGATCCTGACTGCATCTTTACGAGGTCGGACTGAGCACATGGTATCAAGGGTCCATGTTTTCCAATGCTAACAGCTAGTGCAAGCTTCAGTCCTGATAAACTTAGTTTCTAAACAGATCATCATTTCACAGATCTTTTATGGCATTATTTCTTTTGTCTCAATATTTCTTCTGGGTTTAATAGCTCTCTCTCTTTTGCATGGTAGATACAGTATCTGTCTTCAGATGGTATGCTGCCTTTAGACAGTTTTTCAGGACATTTTGAGGGGAATTCATGGAAAGAGGAGGAATTGGATTAATATCATATTTTGTGTCATTGGTTGTCAAAGTTCGCATGCATATGTGCATACACACGCACACATCTGTGTGTGCTTTTTACACATAGAACATGTAATACTGTACAAGAAAATACTCATTTGAACGTTTCAGAATGTTGCTGAGGATTTAGCAACTGAACCTTTTGTCTTGACAGCAGGTGAACTGTGGACTTGACTTTTTCTGCACCATAAAGAAAGCTAGAGGGATGGTGGTGGAGTCCATGTGGCTGTTGCCTCAGGTCCTTGGTGCAGTGACCGGTATCCAGGAATGCAGGGAGACACTAAGAGGAGGGGGGAAAGAAAGAAAAGAAAACATTAGATCGCTTATTGCATGAGTCTGCTGTTGAGTGATATAGTTACATTCAGAGAGAAAGTCTGACCCCCTACTGTGCTAGCAGCCTTTGAATGTGATTTAGCCACTGGGAAATTGAAAACTAACTGCAAAACTGGTACTGACTTGAAAAGAAGTGGCATTTGGAACCAGCATAGGTTCAGAAAGAAAATCCAGTCTGTATCTAATACTTAGGGGCAGACTCTCTAAGCTCATATTATATCCCCAAATATTTTCAAAGGAATGAAAGCATGAAAAGCAAAATGCTAATTTATTCTAGCTGAATTACTCTTTGTACAATATGGTGGTAATATAACAAGATTCTATAAAATCTTGTTCAGGCTATTCAGTCACAATAAGCCCTTATGTGGTTCTCTGCTTAATACCACTGTACAACATATATTTTCTGTGCCAATAGAATATACATTTTCATTTTTTAAGGATACACTCTACATCTTGTAATGCTGTGAATTCATCTACATGTTTTTGAAATGCAAATTTTAATTTTTCTTCCATGTTTATATATCTTAAATGTTATGATTTATATTTATGATGTGTCAGACTGTTGATCTGTAGAACAAAACATTTTCAAACATTGTAACAGTAAAGTTCTCGTGCAGCTGCTAATACTTTTATATCTCTGTGGGGGTTTCAAAATATTCCTTAATTCAATTCCCATTGTCTGCATAAGAGGACTATAATATAATTAAATCCAGATGTTTTCTATATGTTATTCCAAATATTTGGGCATGCAATGCATCAGTTCCAAAATTGAACAAAGGACATGATGACTCTCTGAAAAGATATCTACAGAATAAATAGACAAATACTAATATAATCATTAGCATAACCGTTTCTATGACATTTACATAGTGATTCTGATAAGCAAATATAAATGAAGTGTACAGCATGTTGTATGTTAGCAAGGGAGTATATTTGATGGCTCTCCACATCCGTGAAAATGGCAACTGTTAAATATCCTGTTTACACATCCATTCTCTCTGTATACTAGAGTTGTTTAATTCCAGCCTTCAGCAGCATCCCCACAAAGGTTGCAATGATTGTTCATCAGGTTGAGAGTAAAAGCAACAGGAACCAGATCGACACAAGTCAAATGACCCTAAACTGATCTGGGTGGTTATAGGGCCATCCTCCAGGCAGAGGGGACATTGTGGAGCCTGTGTCATCCTCATGGGACCTTACTAGACAAAGATGTCCCATGAACACTCATGGATATGGACAGGCTATAAGCCTGCAGAAATCTGACCTTTGCCATGAGGGGTGAACCTCTTTTCCTTTCCTTTAGGCTATGAATGCTTATTGCCACTGGCTCCTAGTAAACCCTCTGTGGTGCTGAACCTGCATGAAGTCAGCAATTCATATGAAAGCGGACCTCACATTCCTTTCAGCCTTAAGAAAGGAATACCTGTTGTGGGTTTTCATCGCAGCTTTGTTTTGCTTCTCAATTTTATTTTCCATATTCATAATATAAAATACAGAGGTATCTTTCTCTTCTCCAACTTTAATACAATGCTCTTGGAAGATAATTCTGATTGAATCAGTTGCTCTAAGATCAGATTTAATGGACAGCAAAGCTGAATGATTCTCTCCTGACATCCTAATGTGTTTTTCAGTGCTAAGGGAACACCGAGTATCACACAGGCATTGTAAATCATGAGTCGTGTTTGCTCACTTTCTTGTTCAGTAATCTATTTAACCTTTGCTTAATTAGTCCTGAAGTGGCATCTCCTTATTAATCTTTTAAAAATGAATTCAGAGAGACTATGGTAAAGAGGAAAATACTCTGTGCAACTTTTACTCTTCTAGCGTCTAGAATGATGGGATGTAGATATCTATTTTTTCTTGCTCTTTCTATGTTTACAGTAAGGTACCAGAGTTAACATCCTAGTGCAGTGACTATGGTTGCTCAATAACTCTCTCAGCCGTGTGGATTATTCCTTTCTGTACAAGATGCAGCAGAACTTGTCAGCAGTAGGCTTCACACAGCGTAGCTGGATGGAGGATTGGGACTGTCCTAGGGGCTAGAGGCCAGGATATGCAGCTCTTTGCGCAGCTGCATTCATATGCTCTGTGTTGACAGACTTTCAAAAGAACAGAGCAAGGGGAGCTATTGCTTCATTGGGCAGATAAATATACCATAAGGAGAAGCTACACATCTGTAGCTAAGAGCAGAATTTAGCCTAAACACCATAAAATCAAATTTTAAAAATGCCCACAACTTTCACCATGGATACCAGTCGTAACGTGTGTTTTCTGCAAAGCACCCAAAAGCCTGAGCAGCACATGGCTCATTAACTTTCAATGAGACTAATGGCGTCTAAATTACCCAGAGAGGTTTGAAAATTCCTCCCTATTACTGAACACTTTTGAAATTCATACTGACTGTTGTAAGAGCTCTGATGGGAGCTGTGCACTTTTGAAGACCTGATCATTTAATATGGGGAACTTTTGATTGTTGATCTCAATAATTCTATGTCTATCTATCCGGGAAAATATTATCTGCTTGAAGAGGTTATTGTAAAACTAACAAAAATGTAGGAAACACCATGGGTTTGATAGGGTAGAAGTTCTTTTCAAAGAAAGTTTTTTGCATTTTTTTTACCTTGTCGAAATAAATGCAGAAATTCTGGCAAATGGTCATAACATTTGCATTTTCTTCAATCTGTAACTTTTCATTTTCTGTGTGCAAGTGTTGATGCAAACCAGCAAAAGCCAATAAATTCCAATAAAGGTTAGCTCTCTAACCAAGGCTGCATGCTTTTCTAAAATGTTGGTATAGATGCAATATCTGCATTTTGCCTCATGTTTTGGCTTTTGTTGGAAGAAATTCATGGGGACATCATCATATCAAGCATAAACTGTTTTTTCTTTCCTGAGTTTAGCATAATCATGGCAGAATGGGAATGTCAATCAGTATTTCTATTTATTTTGGTTTTATGCCAGCTGAATCTTTCCTTGCTGATGGAGTTGTAAGCTTACAACTTGCATTTTGCTTGGGGATCTAAAGATCACTCACAATAGTACTATTTGAAAAGATGCTTGTAGCTCGCTTTCCAAAAATTGGAAGCATGCTCAATGGAAATACAGCATGGCTTTTTTTAAATAGCAAATAGTACAAGGTTCTTGCTTGGAGGGGGGAAATTATGTAATTTCAAACAGGAAAAAAGAGGAGATGAAGGATTGTTTAATATTGTGATGAAAGAGGGGAAGAAGGCTGGGCTGCACAGTCATGAAGATCACTTTGTAAAAACCATATTAAGTTAACCTGATTAGGCAGTAGAATAACATCATAGCTCTTGTGTAATGAGAGTGAAAGATTCCCAAATGAGAACTCAGCAGATGTAATTTTTTTTAAAAAGAAATTAATTAGAATATTTCCTTACCATTATTCTTTCTGCACTTAGTGACTCAGTACTTTACTGCAGCAGTTGAAACTGAGAAGAAGAACATTTTGCGTGTGAAAGTTTTTCTCCCTTTCCCTTTTGTGCTACCGAATTCTGTTTCTCTCTGCATTTTCTAGGAAAATACTCTCCTGTGAAGTAACAGTATATGAAAAAGCTGGACTTCTTTTGGTCTTCAGTAAAAAAAAAAAGGCTTAGAGGATCCCAAACCCTCAATTACCATGTCTGCCAAAATGAAGAAGTCAAGCTCAGTAGAGAGAAGCGTTATTTTTCTCCGAGTTTATGAGTGAGCACAAGAAATGGGAGAGGCACTTTGTTTATTGAAGCAGGGAAACAAGGCAAACATGATATGATTCTCCTCATTTTATCCCATTTTTCAGGGATACTAAGCATCCCTGCCTCTCAGAGTCTTTGTTTTCCTGGGTTAATGAACAGTCTTGACAAATATGGACTAGGTGATGTGCCCAAAGGAAATCACCAGTGCTTATCACAGAGTGAGTGGGGGTGGGAGGCATCCTGATTCCCAGCCCTTCTTTTTCTTGACTTCTCTTCCCATTAATCACCAGACTTTTTAGCCTTCCTAAATTCACTATCACTGACTTCAATAACTTGAGAGGGTGTAATTAGTAGTAAGAGGTTTTAGAAAGAGAAGAAACTTTCACTTGCAATTGAAGAGTGAATCTGAAGCAAACTGTTGTTAACGGCTTCTTCCGGATTTATGTAATGAACAGGCCAAAACAGAGTTCAGCCCTCAGGAGCCAGGAGCTCTAAGGAAATGTAATACCATTGTAGCTACT